GATGTTGCCAGTGTTCTGGGATAAATTTCTTTGAGTACGTACCTTACACATACACATAACAACTTCTAAATGATAGACGATGAACAGAGCTTTCCAAACATATATTATATGTTGGGTTTGTGTTACGTTTTTCCAGCAGACCATGGATATAAACAATGGTGGGGTGTTAAAAGTAGCATGTCGCAAGCCGAAAAATTTAATTTCAAAGCAATAACACAAACATAAAAATTTTAAGTATGACTCAACCCTTTATTGTAATTAATTAGTAAACATTTATGTTTCCAAAATTTGATATTAGCTGTTCCATTACTTTTTCACATATAAAAATATCCAAAATAACATGTCGCCGTAATAATGTGTTCTCCTTTACGGTTATATATTTTCAAGACAATAATTACAAACTTTTGAATAAATAACAATATTAGAGTCTAAAATCAATCCGGGAAGTATATAATTTGATTTGATCATACCCCCAAACTCAGGATATCAAGAGATATTTTGAGGGTATGTCCATTTGAAGCTTGTTATGAAATTTGTTTTATTTAAGCACGTGATCTTCTTTACGCATATGTCTAGTGTAGATACTTAAATTATGTCATAATGTTATATCGTTATACACAACAGCTAAGACATTTGTTGTTATCAATAACTGAAAGGGTAAGAGTAAATTGCATTCTTAAAAAAAAAATCACTGAACATGAAATTGCATGAACTTCTTTACTTTAGTTTTGCTTCAGAGGGGAATAAATTTCTCTTTAACCACACATAAGATCCCGTATACAAAAAAAAATGTTTTATTACCAGAACATTAATAAACAAGTAAGAAAATCTTTAAAATTGAAATTGCACTAAGTAAGCTTAGAACCATTCACCAACAAAATACATAACTATAATATAAAACATTATATAATGCCCTCCATATAATATAAATGCATCAAAATATTCACACAATGTACCTCCAAAAACATTTACATAGATATAGTACATGGGAATCTCAATAAAACTTATATGTAACAAAAATAATCGTATGGACTGCATAAAATACAAGACAACCCTTAAACATTCAAATGCATTATACAGCCATTTCTACATAATACAATACACTATAACTTAGCTAATTAGACAGGAAAAATAGTATAATAATAAATATAGAGACATCTATATATATGTATATATATACACAACACGTACTTTACTCAAATCAAATACACTGAAAGTCAAACACATTAAAATACACACACACATATACACCGCATTGAAATAAAACTAAAGAAAATAAAAATATACACTATATTTATTCACCAAATGGCAAACATGAGCTCCAACTCCCCTCACTTCAATCCTGGCAGTTGAACTGCTAAGGTGACAGTTGATCACTGATTATTTCTTGGGCCCAGCTTTAAGCAATGCTAGCAAACCTCCTCTTCAAGTCAGGAGGATGGAGTGTCCCTTTAATGCAAGTGGTACTTCTCTAAGTTGAATAAGTCCCAGGCCTCTGTCCACTTTGCCACTATTTCTTGGCAATGCTTTTAATATTTGAATATTCTATAGAATTAGTGGTATGATGATGGAGGATGGTAGTGTTGTGGGTAGGTCAGTCCTTGGCAGCCATTTTGGTGTTATGTGGGGCCTCTTATGCAACAGTGTTTTGACCACCTTTGAGGTGGCTCCTTCATTCTCCTCAAGTTTTGCTGACATTTGTTTTGTTGGTATTGTCTTGATCGGTATTTGGGATGGCAATGACTTCTTTGTCATTGTTGTGGGTAGTTACTTAACTAGTGGTGGTGGTGGTCACAAGCAATGTCTCATTCTCTGCACATTGGCTCTGATTCTTTAAAGTATTTTTTAGAGCAGCCAACCCTTGAGACACATTCAACTTGGAAAACGTCTTTTTATTTGTTTTGGATGTAGCGGTTCTTATCCTGCATATTTGACTGATTACCTTGGTCAATCGTCATTTCTATGTGGTCCACATACGCTTATCCCCTAATGGCACATAAAACACGTATCTCTAGAACCCATTTACTTCTCAGTCCACAGTCTTCATTGAGTGTTTGCTTGGCAAATAATTTGATAGCCATGTTGCCCACTGTTGCCATTCACCTGACAATAACCAACACATAATATGATTCGTATCTATTCTTTCCACTAATATTTGTTTGTTATGTAAATAGCATCTAGTTCCAGTAGGAAACAAATGGAGTCGAGACAGGAAAACTGGCTTCAACACACATGAGCTGAATAGGGTTAAGCAACACCAACCCATACTTTTGACTGTTAGAATCCACGAACGTAGTATATCTGTTGGGACCTTCTTTCAGTTACAAATGGAGTAATAAATAGCAATGATGTGAATTACAAAGTTTTACTGCTTAGATTATAGTTTCTGCCTACTCTAGTACACTTACAGTTAGCATTTTTATGCAAACAAGCTACTTCTTGTATTAAAATAATATGCTTTTCTAAATATTCCAACTTGCATAATTGAGAATAAGCTATCATTACCCAACAAAACACTGGGTACACCAAGTTCATACTTATTATGATGTTTACACTAATGTTTGGGAATTTCATATACTACTGATAATTTCACTTATTTAAATATTTCGTTTCAGACCAATGAAAACATTTTGCACTACTCTTACTGGAAAACAACAAATAAAACTATGATTTCTTACAGACATGTTCTTGCACTACTCTCAGTGATAAAAACAATACAACTGTTTTTTTTTCTCTCAGACATAATCTGTATTTCTCGGTTACTCTTATTTCTTCATGAAAATGTATTACTTGCGAATATTTTAATGTCAAAATGAAACATTCTCCCACACATGAGCAATTTAAGGTGGCTTGTCGTATGGTCCTACATGACATCAGGTATCATGAGCTGCCATTGATATCATGGAGAACCTTCTTTTCCATCATGAAAGATAATTCATTCCATGTTTTACAGTCATCCCTTATAGGTGTTCATTGCCTTACTTGCCAAAGAGATAACTCTGACTGGCAGAAATCATCCACCAATGACAATTTCATTTTCTGTCCACTAGTTGTCAGTGGTCTTAACCAGAACTGGAGCTGTTGTGCTCTTGATAAGAGGCCTCCACACGTCGTCTCGAACTCACCAAATGCTATTACTTTCTGACAAATCTCAGTTAACCACCATTCTATTCCGCTGAAATCGATTCTTAATGGTACACTAGCTTAAATGAGTCAGTGATTGCATGTAGATTGCCTGGTATTATAGACCCTTGCAACAATGGCCAAAGCTCTTTGTCCAGGAGAGTAATTCTCCTAAACTTGACATTTCTCCCACATACCATCTCTCTCTGTTAGTAAACCCTATTATGATTTCACAAACGCGCGCACGCGCACTACGAAAAAATGCAATTCACAATTCTTCTTATTATTTTTTCATCGATTCTGTTGTTATCATCAGGTCTAACTACCTAACACTTGTCGAGAAATCAGTTATTACCTGCAAATATTACAACCAGGTAGGATAGAGAAACGTTTGTGGTATGACATCAGGATTCATTGTGGAATGTCTGGTGTAATAACAGGCGTACTAGCTCTTGCTTTATCTCTATAAGTTATTAAATTTAAAGGAACCTTTTCTACAAAAAGAATGGAATTTTATGGGCATAGAAGTATTCACGACTGAGGGGGGGTTGTCCAATGTAGCCAACAACCAATGCTGTAAGAGAAAAAAGGTCACAAAGTGATGCTGCCAACTGAATAAAGAAACCTGGCTTAATTACTCGTTGAATTCAGACCCACCTTCTTGATTCACTTCTACCTGGAGTTCTTTGAGTGAAGATTTACTTTCAGACAATCATGTTTAGTTCACAGAAGTCTATCTTGGGAAAAAGAAGGCTGTGAAGCTAAGTACAATCCAAAATGACCAACTGCGATTCTGTACGCTCATGTAAATACACAACATTTCTCTTTTGTTGGTTTCATATTAAAGATTCCATTCATTGTTTACTAAATTTGTACAGTAGAGGGAAGGCAGTTAGTCAACACCGATTACCGCCAACTCTTAGGCTACTTTTTACCAACGAATTAGCGGAATTGACCATCACTTTATAACAACACCCTACGGCTGAAAAGGAGAGCATGTTCGATGACGGAGATTCAAACTCGCAGATTGCGAGTCGAGCGCTCTAACTACCAGAACATGACAGGCTTCATATGTTTTCATATATATTTTTTAAAATATTTAGTTTGTCTGCGGTTTTAACATAAACACGTGGTCCAGAAAGTTGTTGAGAATGCCTTGTTCTATTTGCTTTTTTTTTTGTTTTTTTTTTGATATTGCAGAAGCATGTAGCATCCCGGTTGAAAGGATTAGCGACTGTAATATTCTCAGCTGGCTGACGTGAAGTCTATCACTGCTAAATTAGAACGGCTAGTGCAAATAGCCCTCAAGTAACTTTGCGTGAAACTCAAAATAAAACAAAAAACATATGATATGCCTATATATCATAGCATAACGTAATTTAAAATTTTAAGAAATATTCGTAATGCTGATTGGGTATTTTAACGACGGGTTATCCTTTCTAAAATTGCACTTTTTATAACTTATATATCTATTAAACTGAACTTTTACTTTTTCTTGTTAAATTGCGGTTTTTTAAATAATATTTTTTTCTAGTGTTGGGGTGCTGATTATCTATCTATTTTTTTTATATTATTATAATATTATCTAATTAGCCTTCACTTTATAAAATCACGAATGGTAACGCGAGATAATTTCCCAGTGAGTTTCACAAAGCAATACTACTGTTGGAATAGTGTTATGCACAACTGAAACATCTCTGTGTTTCTACGCATGTAGGCATGGGTTTTAACTTAAGTATTGTTTATTCATTTAAAAACGTTCGTGGAATTGTAGATGGTTTCCTAAGTTAGAATAAGTGTGTATATTATTACTAGTTAATAATTGAAGCCTTCTACTACTACAACTTACAACTGTAATCTGTACTACTTTACAAGCTCAAACTCTAACTTCAACTTTTGAAGTTCTACGTGACTTAAAGTCTTAAGTTAATTAATGTTTTACTTTTATTAAGTCCTGCTAGTACTAGTTTTACTAACTTGTAGGACGTTTAAAATATATTATAAACCTTACTCTTTCGTTGGTGTCCTAACGTTATTTGATAAAAATGGGAAGCAAGAAACATAAGAAACATCAGAAAAAGGAAGTTCCTGCATTTCATGAAGGTAAGTTGGTGGAGACATTTTAAAAACTTTTTACAAGTGTTTTAAGAAAACGTAATTTAATATTAAAGCAAAATACGAAAGTAACAATATGAAACGTTTATTAAACGTAATACTTAATATTGTAACGTTTGTGTTTTGCTTTACTATTAAATTGCGTTTTCCGAAAAATGAATTGATTACAAGTATTTTCGTTTTTCAAGCCTATGGATGTTACTATTGTTACTGTTAGAATTATGAGGATTTAGTGTGAAAAATTTCATACAGCATTTCTTATACTCTGATTCTTAGTCTTCACTGACCTGGCCTGACAATGACACTACAATTTACAGCTTTGAAAGTAATGTGGAGACCTGTGTCTGCATTCTGTTTATAAGATCCACCACATTATTTTTATTCAGTTTTCTTTGACACTGACATATCCTGTGCATATTTAAGAAAATGCATGTTTTTACTGTTAACTCTATGCTGACATGATCAGTTCAGCTTCAAGCATTATTTTTTGCATCAAAAAGTATGTTTTACAATTTTATTTTAAAATGAAATAATCATTACATTTTTCATTTTATTTTTAATATCATACTTTTATTATAAAGATTGTTTTGTGTTTTTAGTTTAATAAACGTATTTATGACTAACCTAAGTGTTCTAAGCTGGTCAAACATTGAGATGTGATTTGGATTACAGTTGAAAATATTGTTAATAGTGAGGGTACCTAACTTATAAAACAATGCATTCTAATCTTTGTAAATATGAATGTAAGAAAAGTGTACTTAATTAGCAATAATTATTTGTAATAGCAGGTTGAATTGTAGTTTGCTCTAAACAAGTAGCTTACTCTGATCAAAAATGAATATTAATAATGCATAGTACTAGTAGTTGATCTCACAATATACTGTATTTGTTTTTGCACAAGTCTAACTTACATACAATATATTTTTATTAATTTATAAAATTGAGCTGTAAGATGCTTTGTACAGACATATAACAAAGTTTAACATTTTTTTGGATAGTTAATATGGTTTCACTAAAGGAAATCTTGCCTTACTAATATTGTGACATACTTTGAAGAGGTTACTACTTATGTTGATGAGGGTAAGGGTATGGATTATTTATATCTGGATTTTCAGAAAGTAATTGACTAGGTACCACATAAAATGCTTATTAAAATGATATTTATAGGCGTGGGGGGAAATGTTGGTTCATTGGACAGAAGAATGACTGGATCAAGAGAGTAGAAGTTCATTATAAATGAAGTTCAGTCTAACTGGCTTAATGTCACAAGTGGGGTACTTCACGGTTCAGTGTAAAGATCTTTGCACCTTTTTAGTTTACATCAGCGATATAGTTGAAGGAGTAGTAAATACATTACTTAAGTTTATTTACATCAGCGATATAGTTGAAGGAGTAGTAAATACATTACTTAAATGCAAGGTATTTTTGATGTGGATAACTAACGGTGTTATGGCAGAAAATTATCATTTTCTTCTAGTTGGTTAGTCTTTTAAGCTATTGTTGCAATGTTAATGGTAGGGCAAATAGGATTTTAGAATGTAATACATAAGTATGGATATAATATACAAGAAGATATAATTTTATTGTACTTTTCACTGATTGGGCCTCATTTGGAGTAGTGTGTTCAGTCTTAGGTTCTTTACCTTAGGAAGGACATTGTTTTGTTGGAAAGGATTGACAGAAGGGCTACAAGGATGATATCTGAAATACAATCTAAAAACTAGTTTATTGTCTTTTCGTGTTTTAATGATTAACTTGTTTACTTGAACTTGGATCCATTAGTTTAAATTCAGTCTATACTTATAGGTAGGTTATAATATAAATCAAGCAAAATACATTTTATTATTAACATTACATATACATCAAAGACTAGTTATCGTCACTTTTAATAAAGTTATATTTCTAAGTTCTGTATAATTAAAGATAAACTTTATTACTTTAGTGTGAAGACAAACTAGTGATAAAAAAAAAACTAATATAATTGATTCTTAAAGTTAAACATTAGGATTAATAGTATCAGTTGTGAGGGTATAACAGAAAAGTACTGTTTGCTCTCTTATTTTTGTGCTGTTGGTTGCTGAGGAAATTTAAACCTACTTTGTTTTTTTATAATGATGGTACTAGTACACTAAATAATATTTTATTTACTTAAATAATTTACCTAAGAACACAAAATAATAACACACACAAAAACAATGTCTTATACCTATTATAATTTAACTGACTTTCTAACTAAGACAAAAAGGAGCTCCAATTAATTCCCTTTGCTCCTCGATCTGAACACCATGAGATAAACTTTCAAACTGAAGATGAAATTGATAATACTCTGTACAGAAAACAGTGTAGCATTATACATCATTTGATAGATTAAAACTTTCTCTTTATATTGATTATAAATGATATAGTATAAAATATCAGTGAGAATTATTGACAATTTATGAAAGAGAGGATGTGACAGGTGGGCGTGGCAAATGGGTCTGACTTTCTAGTTTATGACTGTAACCAAACAAAATTAAAGGCTATGCTTTCTGTTACTTTCTTTATGAAATTAAGAACTTGAAACTTTTATTAACATTTGATTTATTTACTATGTTTTTATGCCAAGTTTATTCTTATACATTGATCATATAGGAGTTTGATTATATTTTGAATGTAATTCTCTAAAAGGATGTGGTGTGCACTTTGACCTACCCATTGTGAGAGGACTAACAGGGAGAGGATAAAATCTCAGAGTTGGAATATTGATAACATCCTATCCTTTCTTGTAAACAAGAGTAGAAAATAGTTAAAGGTTCAGCCATATATAGCTTTTTGCAAAGGCCTTGCCATCAGCATCCTTTAAGGGCCCAGTCCCTGTTTTTACATTTTGCTTACTTGTAACATTATCAGCCAGCTGTTTCTTGTAAGCACTTTTTGAGTTCCTTCTTTTTTTAAACTAAATCCATAGCTTTCTGATATTTTATAAAATGTCCTTCCCATCTATTAATTTAGACTTAAACTTGTAGCGTTTATCCTTGATTTTTCTCTCTTGTCTTTAGAAAGCTATTTCTGTACATTTGAGCTTTTGAAGAGAAAAAAAAACAACATTTGTTACCTGTTTCTCAACCTATCCCATTTAAAATTCCATCCATGAATCCAAACAAGAAATCAATATACTAAAAGATGTAATAAATACAGCTTCGATTCTTTGCTCAACTGACTACATAGATGAAGAAATCAACTTTATAAAGCAATCCTTTAAAATATAGTTAGGGCTGGATTTTTCAGTGAATTTGAAGTCAACAAAAATTATGTTTAATGGCAAGTTTTCTCCAAGTGTGAATTATTCTTGAACTGATTTTCAGGGATAAATTGTAAACTGCAGTGTAATGTTCTTATTGTTTGATGTATTAGAGTTAATTTTGTTTATGAGTTGAATTTTAAGGTTCTGGTGGTTGTGTGAAAATTTGTTGACAATAGTTTGTGGTAATTCATTGGTGAAAAGTTTCTAAATAAAGTTTATGTAGAATCACAAAATACCAAAGTCATTTATAAAATAACCTGCAATAACTGTTCAGAATTTTACATCAGAGAAACTGGAAGAAAATTGGAAACCAGATTCACCTATCATAAGAAAAAACCCTCTCATGTTTACCACCATTGCAACTCAAAAAAACCACAGTACATCTACACAGAACATTATAGTTTTAAACAAAGAACCGAACATCAAATAAAGGAAGAGATCTTAACCCTATGGTTACAGGTAACCCTGTTCTGTGCATGTTGCAAGATTTTACTTTGTAACATTAAAAATTCAGTTAAGCAATGTTACGATCAATGTATGAATGCTAAGTGCTAGCGAGAACAAAAGCAGCAACAATGCGAAGAGCAGTTTGACAAGTTCTCCATGGTATTCTTCATGCCAGTTTGGGAGATTGTATTAAAATTTAGTCTTTCTATTGGTTATAAACATCTAGCTCAACTAAGAATAATTGGCTGAAAAATCGCAACTCTATATGTAAAAAGTGGGCATGAGTGAACACAGCAATTAACCTAGATTCTATCTGTACATGGAAGGTTATCATACATAAAAAAGTATTCAAATTACAAAAGTCCAAAAGATAAGATTGTGAACTTTTGCTTCAAACTGAAGTTTAAGAATTTTTCTTTTGAAATAAAGGAATTAAAACTTATGTAATATAAAACTTTGAACTATAATGTAAATGCTAATTTCATTGGGTTTCTTATCTATAAATATGTTAGTTAGATAGACAATTAAATTGTATTTAGGTTTTATATTTTAGTTGTGTGTTATTTGGGTTTTAAAATGCATATTAGGAAGGTTTAATAATTTAAAAAAATTATAATCCAGATTGCCTTGGTTCATCAGGCTTAGTATAGTAGTGAATGTCTCAACATTCTGATAAAGGCTAAAGTATGTACCAATGATTCCCTAATATTGCCCGAAAATACTGTTGAAAGGAAAATAAAACATCAAAAATAAATATGTAAAAAAAGTAAAAACTTGCAATTAAGAATCTAATCGAAAGATTTTAAGATTATTTGATGAAAAATGAGAAGGTATGTATATTTTTATATTTTTACTTTTAAACATTTCATTTCACAATACATTAATGACAATACTCAAAATATTCAGTCCGAGTGAAAATAACTACAATACCAAAAATAACAAATATTTAGTTAAAACACTTAATTAAAATAATCTCATTCTTTTTTGTACAGAATACTTGTAATCTTTGACAAAATCTTAGCAATTGTTGTTAAAATATGTTGAGAAAGCTCATTTACTGTGAGTGTTGTTGAACTGTATATCCTTCTCCATATGAGAATGAGCCAAATGGGTTCAACCTCATTACCATAAAGTTAATTGAACCAATCAGCTTTACTTTGAACCAATACCCTTAGGTACTTAGCTATTATATAATCTTCAGTCATGTGATGTCTGTTCCATACTGTGTTTGTATGTATGTGTATATATTATAAAACTA